CCCACTATTAGGGATTTTGGGCATTGTTTTCATCCGAATGGGTTTTAATTTGATAATTATGTTCCTCTACCCACCAAAAATTATATTGATATGTCCTCGTTAAGGTATAGCCCCAATATAACGGTACACCCAAATTTTGATGATTATGCTAAATAGTCTTACTATTCTTCGGAACATAGGGTTTCCACAAAGCATTGCCACCTTACTCGATTAATTGCCGTAGTTTTTGCATCTTCGCAAGTATATTCGAGAAAAAAAAACAAAATTTTCGATTGTGCTTTAAGTTATTTTTTGCATTTTATGGATGGAATTCATAAAACTTTAAATAATGGTTTCTTGTCAGAGAGAGTTAACAAAAAAAAAAAAAAAAACTTTGGATTCTGTGTGTTTGGTAGTGGATGGCGGGTTTCTATGGCACATAAATTCTTTGTCGTTTTAATTTTTCTATTTTAATTTTGTTTCTTTCTTCTTTGTTATGTCCTGTCGGAATCCTTCTTATTTGCTTACATGTTCATGTTCTGTGTCATTAGAACAACCATATTTGATAAATTGTATTTATATCGAAATAATTTGGAAAATATATATGCGAATTTTGTAGCACCAATGTAGTGGTCGGTAAGAGTGTGTGGTATACAAAAACAATGAAAAACTTGTCAAAATCGAGTAAGTGGAACTTAAACAGCAGTAAAATAAAAGAGTGGTTGTGATGGTGTTTTTTTTTATATTTTTCTCATTCTTCTTATTTTTTATAAGAAATTTCATTAATTTTTTTCGTGCTCTACGTTACTTATGGTGTTGGATCAGAATGTCCTACAGATGATCCCGAGGCATTTGTTTATGAATACCTGTAGTTTTTGCGTAAAATCTAACACCAAGATTGACTGAAGTATAACAGAATCCGTTTTATACATGCTTCGAATATTTTAATATTGGGTTTCCTGGTTATACGTGATTTTCTCTACAGTTTGCATCATAATAATGCAATGTGTGACAAATTATAATTAAGAAAACTTATAATCTTATAATACAGCAACAGTCTCTCAATCACTATGTATAAAACCTAAATCCTAATATTTTTATCATATTACACCTAAACACAATAAAACTAAAAATTTACACATTTCGACGCAAATAGTGACAAAATAATTGGTATACAATTGGACTGATAATATAACTACAAAAAATTAATATAAGAAACAAATTATAAAAATATATACAATTACACTAAATTAATAAAAAAAATTTGCGAAGAAACCAAACTTTTTATAATTAGCATAAACACATAAAGTGAACGAAACAAACAAATATGAGCACCACAAATAAATTTGTATTTATGAAGCACCAATTTATTTTTCCTATATCAAGTTTATTCGTATTTATTATGTATATATAAAATAATTAAAACTTAATTTTTGTAATGTTTTCTCTTGTTAAAAAACACTATACGCTATGGTCTTATTGTTATATAGAATTTTAGATAATAATAATTATATAAAGAAATGTTTTTTTTTCATATTCTTCGTTAAACCTAGATTAGATGCCAAAACAAATAAACCAAAATCACTTATCATTAACAACTTAAAGCGTAAACAAAAACTATATTTAAAAAATCTCCAAAATCAATGTGAAATTAATTATTATTAGAAATTTGAAAAACAAAAAATAAGACAAAAGAAAAATTTTAAACTAGTAACAGCCAGGAATACATGTGTCCTATATTTAAAAACAAATGTTACAATTCATAGAATTTTTAGTGTTTTGGTTTTGTGATTTATTTACTTCTTTATTTATAAAAACTATGAATAGTATTTAGTGTTTTAGTTTTAATTTTTCCGTTTTCATATAGTTTTAGTTGTTTAATTTATAATTTATTAATTTTCCTGTATATGGCTAGCAGTATTAGCATGTAAATAATTTGTATTGTTTTTTTTTCAATGAAACAAGCATGTTTCATTTTTGATTTAATTGATTTTATAATTTGTAAAAAAAACTTGTCTTCCATAACAAAGTCACTCGTTTGTCTCCAAGTCTTTTTACATTTTTCAATTGTTTTTCTTATTTTTCTTCATAGTCCTTTGTAAGATTAGATTCACATATTTTATTATTACATCAAAATTCCAGCATGTATTTTCTTCCACATAAATATATTTTTTACAAAATAATATTTCAATTTAATATTTTTCATCCGTTTAGAAATGAAAACACTACCTCTGTATACTAGAAATAATGTGGATACTATAAAGAAACCCAAAATGGAAGACTATGTCTATATGAATATATTTCTGGTCTTATTGGTTCTCAAAATATTCTTCGGGATATTTTCTAAAATTTTCTCCTCTAACCTTACACAGACTTCTGAAGCTAAGGGTAGACTTTTGCGGTACTTATATACAATGAAATACCTTTAGATCTTGTATGGTCAATAGAAGCCCAGATCTAGATCTTCTGTAGACAACATTACACCTCTTGACATTTTATAGAAGACGAAGAGACGTAGTTTTATTTATACAGTAAAAATACTCTATGCCTTATATAAACAATAGACTAGATACAGTTTAAGGTCTATAATATCGAAATAATTTGGAAAATACATATGCAAATTTTGTAAGACCAATGTAGAAAGAAACAATGGAATACAAAACTAGTCACAATCGCGTGAGTGGAAAGACGGCAATTGTTAGCAACAGAAACAGTAGTCAAATAAACCGTTCCAAAAATAACAAACACCAGGCAAGGGGAGAGGTGAAGAACGATACCAAAACACAACCGAGCAATGATTGATGATTGTGGTGGTGAAAAAAAAAAATCTTTTCAAAAAAAGAGAGAGAGAAAGGAAAAAATAGTGGTAAGTGTAGGGCAAATCAGGAAAACAATTGTGATGTGTTTATATTTTTGTGGAAAAATAGTGGCTTTCTAATCAGTATAAGATTTTTTCTTGGATTCAAAGTGGGGTAAATGTACAATATGGGAAAATTAACTATGAATTAAATTTTGAAGTTATTCATTAAATTTTTTACTTATGGCTACTTATGATGTTGGGCCAGAATGTCTTACAGATGATTCTGAGACATTTGTTTACGAATACATAGAACTTACAATGTATAGCCTTCAGAAGAATTCTGTGTCTTTTATAGGTAATAGAAGACCTTCTGTAAGCCCTTTATCTATCTATATACAATAAACGACTTTTAGGTCTTTTAAAAACTGTCGCAGACCTCCACAAAAGCACTGTACTAAGTATTTGTTTTTACCAATATATGCAATAAAGGACTTCTAGGTATTTTGAGAACTGTCGCAGGCCTCTACATATCTACATAAATACTAGAAGACCCATATGTCTTCCATAGACGATAGAAGAGCTCCATGTTGTCTATTATCGACAGAAGAGCTCCATGTTGTCTATTACTGACAGAAGAGCTCCAGGTATTCTATAGCCAACGAGGGTTATAATCAATGGAATACCATAGAATTTCTGTGTTAATAAAATTCAATTAGGCCTCTAGATAATGGGAGATCTCATGGTAGATATCTTGCTTGGTTATAAACAAGAGAATATTCCTAGATCTAAACGATTTCCAACGACCAAGTCTTCTTTAGCCATTGATCTTCTAGGCTTTCTATGGCCAATAACAGGCATCTAGGTGTTCTATGGACAATGATTGACTGGTTTTTCGTTAACAGTAAAATTCCTTAGGCAATATAAAATTTGTAGAAAATCTATGGGCAGTAGAAAACATAGATGGTCGGCGATAGACAATACAGAGTGATAAAGACCTATAGGTCTTCTACATACTGTGGAAGGTAAATAGGTATTTTATAGACAATTGAATAATTGTATGTTTTTTAGAGACAATATAAAACATCAGTAGGAATTCAGTAGAGAATGTAAGTCCCCTTGATCTTATAAAGACTTTAGAAGGTCAAACGATACATAATAGACAATAAATTACCTTAAGGATCAATATGGACAAAAAAATCTAGATTTTGTATCCACCAGCTCTTCTATAGATTAATATCATAGGACCTCCTCCTACCATTAATTAATTAATAGTGTTTTCATTTCAAAACATTTATTTCTTTTTTCCCCTAATTGCACTTAGAGATTTATATAGAAAAAAAACTAAACATTTTTTTAAATAAAATCAATTAATAACAAAATAAAAAATTGCCTGTAAAATAAATAAAAACTAAAGCTAAAAATTAGTAGTTAAAAATATAAAAAACTAAACACTTAGAAAGAAAAGCTAGCAATAGTAATGCAACTTTTTTCTCTCTGTACAACTATATATATACAAACAAAAAATATTTAACAAATTTATCAGCGAGCTAAAACCAAATAAACATCACATTTTTTCTCTTCTTATTACTTATTATTATTCTTAAGTATATTTACTCTAAACTTATTTATATACATTTATATATAATTACCAACCAAATATTAACATTTTTTCTTTATATTTTTCAACTGAAAATGACATTGAGTACCAATCATTATTAATCATATTTTTTATATATTTTTTCGTTTTTCTTCATTCAAAATGAAAACCAATTTTTTTTATGTTTTGTGTACGTTACGATGTGAACGAATCGTTTGGGGTGTCTATTTGCAAAACAAACAAAATGTCTTCCTCGAAAATTTTGAAAATATCAACACATTATTGTATTATATGAAAAAAAAACCAAAATAAATCAAATGTTTGTGTCTGAAATCTATCAATCAATCAAATCATCACCAAATACAAAAAATCAAATCACTTACATGGATCGTAAAAAATGTCTATCACCAAAACAAAAACAACAACAACAACTCTAATAACAACGAAAATCAAAATGCACTACTGTACAAATAAATCTGTCCGCTATTTTTTTAACAAACAACACCCACCTAACTAAAAAAAATAAAAATAATGTAAATTGAAACTCAACACTTGTACGACAAAATGCCATTCAATCGAATCAATTAACGAAAAATCCAAAATCACCCACATACACACACACAGAAACAATCATTTTTCGATTGTTTGCTCGATATGACTGCCCTTGACAAAGGAGGATCACGTCAAGGCTCAATTAGTTACGAAGCAAACGGCCACGATGCTGCCAATTCACAAACGCATTTATTGGCCAATGTCCATCATCAGCCAAATGGTGATACGGAACAAGGTAGCTTGGCAACACTGGCCCGCCGGAGTACAATGCGTAAACGTTCTGTTAGGTAATATTTTTTCGTTTATTATTTTGAAGTTTTTTGAAAAAAAATATACAGTCTTTTATGTTTATCTCATTATTCATTCATCTACACATACACGTACTAATTGATGAGGATAATCTGTGATATTTTATTTATAACTTATTGACCTATCAATCGTCTATATACAATAACAGACATCAAGGGTTTATATAGGCACTAAAAAGACTACATGGCCTTCAATAATCAATTTATGACATATAGGTGACAACGTAGACAGAAGAAGATATCTATAGACAACATAGCACATCTTTGTTTTATATGGGTAATATATAACTTCTGGTTCTTTTCTAAACAAAATAAAACCGATATAAGACTGTTTGAAAATATAGATGGATATAAGTTATTTTGTCTTTATTAATAAAATATTCATAGTGGACTAAAATCTTGAGTTATTTTGTCCAAATTAATAGGGTGGTTTGTTGGGAATTCTTAGTAGAACGGGACAAAAGTGCTAAAAAGTACTAAATATGGCGTCATTTGTACTTGGCGAACAGGTGGAGTTAGTACTTTCTAAATTTGGAATGAGAATCACTGATGGAATGTAGGACAGAAGTACGAATTATAATTTGGGTGTACGGTTGGAGCTGGAATCCTGAAAGTGTAGAATTGGTATATATACGTAGCTTTGGAAAAATGTTATTTATGAGTACGAAAAGTACTAAATCGTACTATAATTGGTATAAAAAAATTCTAGGTCTTTTGAAGATATTTTTTCCACAGACTATAGAAGAGCTCCAAGTCTCATATAGTCAACAAAAGAACTCAAGTTTTTCCGTAGCCAACGATGATTATTAGACATCTTCAGGGAATAGAATTGCTGTGGGGTGTCTATAGGTTATAGACAATCTAATCTAGTAGGTCTAAGCGACTTCCATAGACCAAGTCTTCTTTAGCCATTGGTCTTCTAGGTTTTCTATGGAAAATAGCAGGCATTTAGGTCTCTATTGACAATGATTGACCTCTGGGTTTTCCGTAAACAATGAAATACCCCAAGACAATATAAAACCTCTAGGATATCTGTTGGTAATAGAAAACAATAAACAATAGGGAGTTAGAAAGACCTATAGGTGGAATATCTACGATAATTCGTAGATCTTTTAGATAACCGTATCTTTTATAGTCCACTGATTACTAGTAAGTCTGTTCGCGAATTCTACAGAAAATGTAAAACCTGTACATTCTCAATCTTCAATTTAAACTCCTTTATAGACAGTATAAGTTCTCTGGGTTTTTTATAGACAACTGAAGACCTCTAGATATTCTATAGATCATAGAAGGGCAAGGATTATTCTAAACTACCTCTTTAAAAAATAATAGCTCCAATAGCAGACTTTCATATTTTCTACCCTGGGGAAGATCTCTAGGGCTTATATGGACAATATTAGTCATCTTGGTCTTCTAGATTCTCTCTGACCTAAAGAAGACATAGGAAATAAATGATGTGGTATGTAGTCTTCCAGAGCCTAAACAAGGCATCCAGACAGTCATAAGATAAGCTCTGCATATTGGTACGGATAAAATTTTGGGTATTTTGAACGTCGTGCTCACGTTTTTACATATTTTTAAGGTTCATGATGTATTTTCGAAATGTTATTCGATATTTCAGGTTTTCAATAGGTATAAGACCTCCTCGCAATAAATGTTCAAAATAGCCTCATAGTTCTTGAGCGCTCTTTTCATTTGTTTCGATCTGGCAACTTCTTCATATATAAACAGGTGTTCAAAAAAGACGCATCTGCAATTTTTTACAATGAAAACACGCATTTCTAATGTTTCCATAATAAAAAACTTAAACGTCAGGTTTAAGAATGAAATATATCGCCCTGCTTTTATGCCCCCATATAATGCTATCTACCGATTTTCGGTATTTTTAATACAGATTTTCGGTATTTTTAATATTTAGCGATGTGATGCAAAAATGTTAGTTCCGAAATTGAACTACATCAGTCCTCAATTAGGCATAGCACCTCATATAATGACAACTCCAAATGATCGATAATTCCCACACGATGTAATCAATATTGGTCCCTCTTTATGCAGAGCCTCATATTGAACCAACAGCTTTCACCCCACCCCCCGAAATAAAATCCTGTGTAAGTTCGTGATGTCCACATATAACTTGCCCTCTTAACTGTCTATGCCTCTTAATTATATTATATAATTATAGACAATTTTACACTTTTATTATATTCTAAGTTGAGGTTTTATGAACAATTTCTATAATTTTTCTCCATGAACTTTTCCTTATATACTCAATTTTACAATATCACAGATTACCCATAGACAAATATATATTCAATTATATCTCGTACAAAAAAAAAATATACCATTACTAAAACACATTTTCATCAAATAGGCAAAAACAAAATCATCATACGACAAATATATCATCGAACAAAATCATTCAAAATAACATTCACAACCATTTAATATTCTAATAATAAAAAAAAAAGCAAAAAAAAAAAAATACAAAATATTTAATCAAACGATCTACATTACTTTTACATTATTTAATTTATTTTATAATTTTTCTCAAATTTCAGAAACAATAAAAAGGTGAATAAGAAAAATGTGTGTTATGATCACAAAATCAAAAGATATATCATCAAATTAAATGGTAACACGTACAACAACAACAAAATTTTCCAATGCCAAAATTATTAACCAATATCACCAATCCAAAACCAACAACTACCCATTCCCAAAAGAAAGTAACCCATAACTAACAAAAAAAAGAAATATGCAATTAAAAAAACAACAACCAGCATATCCAAATCCTTTAACAAATTCACATATACATATATACGTAATCTACATATATATGTGTACACGTACCCTTGTCCTTTGTATACCTCCTAATAATAATCGTATACTCTTTGTGTATGTGTGTGTGTGTGTAATTCTCCATATATATCAATACATACATATATACATTTTTCTGTGTGTGTGTGCAATTATTTAAATCAGTGTGATTTCATTAATATGTGTCTCCTTATTTGTTGTGTAAAAAACAGAACTACAACAACGTTGCAATATATCCTTTTTTCATTTGTTGTTAAATTATGAAAACTAGGAAAACAAAGTCAGTACTCGTTACTTTTTTCTGTTTATTTGGTGTACATATAAATTATTAGGTGTTAGTATATACAAATTCACAATAGATGTCAGAGGTTTTTCTTGTGGTTATAACTCACATGAAACTCTGACACTTTAACTAATTAGAAATGCAATAAATTATGAAAAAGTCAATAGTTGTATTTTGATACTGTAGTAAAATTACAACGAATGTTATAAATTTGTCGTTGTAATAATCTTTGTTTAGGTTTATACAAAATAATGTAGGTATTTCTTCTAAATATTGAAAAGAAAAGAAAACTGTGTGCTCGTGTTATGTAAACGAAAAAATTTAATTATTTTAGTCTCAAAATTGCTTGTGTGCAATTACCTGTTCGAGGAAACGTATAAAGCAATAATAAGAGACTTTACAGATAATAATCAAATAACGTATGGTTTTAAAAGCCATATCGAATTCTTTGGTGTTCTAATTAATTTTCGAATTATCTAGCACTGTGGTTAATTATAAATACATTTTTCTAATTTGTTAAAAAAAATAGATAGAAAAGTATCTTCTCATTCCGCAATTTGAAATAATTAACAATTCGTTGTTAAAAATATATATGAGAAATACGAAATACAATTATTTTTATATCTGAGCACACTGTTTTTTTTTTTTTTTTTTTTGTCTATAAAACAATAATCATTTCAAAACTCAAATAGTTTTTTAAAAGTAGATGGGAAAACTAAATAACTAAATTTTAATAAACATTTTAAATTAGTCAATAATTAATTAGATAAAATATGACAAATTACTCTACAATATTCAAATTCGGGCCTGAGGATGTGTTTGAATCACTTTTGGACAATTATAAAGCATTCATTCTTGAACGATGTGGGCCTTGTGTTAATGGTCATTATCTTATCTATCTCTTTCACATTTCAATCCCAGTTTTGCACATTTCAATCTAATTCCTTCAATAAAAACGAGATTTTCTATCCCGGAAGCGCCCGTACAGTCCCATACAATTACAAAGCTTCATCCGTGCTATATGGTTGGAATTGTATGCCGCATATGGTTCACGGCTTTATTCGCCCTGTCCCATACCTTACTTGTTTTATTCGACCCAAACAAGTTAAATTTGCTTTCATCACCAAAAATAACAGATTTTCAAAATGAGCGAATCGAACGAACTCCAAACTGATCTTCCGGTTTTTGGGGTTTATGAATGGCTTTTTCAGTGAAACTCTACCATAAAGACCATGCTTACGCAAAATTCTTTGCGATTTCAGTAAGTTTAAGTACACTTAGCCTTGGATTATCAGATTATTCACTTTTTGTCTCTTATATAGAATATTTTCGGTTCACATTTTCCAAGTTCATGGTGGTAAAGAAAGATAAAGATTTTGGTGCAATATTTGTGTGGCGTACCATGGCTTCAAATTTTCACAATGGCTAAGAAAATTCTTGTTCATTAAAAATAATAAAATTGTATTGATTAATTAACACGCACTTATGGAGTTTCTATAATGATTTTGATGCACATTGTTCACCAAATATCGCATTGACTTTTTAACAGCTTTAGCATACCGAATACATCAAATCGGCCCATTAATTGTTTTCGATTATCGTATCCTCTTATTTTGAAGTTGTAAGGATTATGGATGAATGTAATTAAATATCTTTTGTCCTCATTGGGTGACTAATTTTTTTTTTTTTGCTTTTCTTGCTTGGTCCCACCAATATTTGCTATTTTAATAATTTCAGACATGTTTTTTTAACCGAGTTCTTTTTGATATGATATTTTGAGCTTTCATTGGGTTGCAAATTCTCCTACCAAAATATCTGTTAATCCTTGTATATAGACCTCATAAAAAGTGGGTAATATTTCTACATATTATCCATATAAAGATCATGTGTCATTTTTGGTGTGTTAAATGTCTGAGCCCAAGTTTCCAACCTGGATATCTGCAGTTTGTTAATTTTTGTGCAAAGTCAATAATCCTAGTACATACGAGATCCAGACATGTACTCTTTCTAATGCCATTGGAATTTTAGGATTCCCATGTTCCAGTTATCATGCCCGCTATTGAAAATAAGGGATTTCCTTGAAAATTTGAAATGGTGAATGGGGGTCCCCTTACCCCTTTGTGGCCCAATGTTGCCCACAGGCAACAAAATGTTTTAGAGCTTATATTTAATATGCAGCTAGTAGATATGTATTATTTGGATTTCATATCAATTTAGTTTCATATCATATCAAGAGAAAAATAAAAAAATTCAAAGTGTTGGTAAAGTTATCAGCTTTTCAATATAGAGAAGAGGCTAAATTTGTGTACAGTACCAATTTCTGTATACAGTCCAAATTATTTAAATCGCTTCGTTTTTAAATTGTATGAATTCTGCCATCAAAATTATTTTTGATTCTTGTAAAAATTAATATAGAGAATAATTTAAAATGATTTTTCAGCAGATTTTGCATTTGGTTTTCTTGATATTGGACTTTAATTTTTCCGAAAGAATGTACTGTATCTCCCAAATGCAAGGATGTAGCGATGTCAAATTTTGAGCATGTCCTATTTGGGATAGTTGCATTAAATCGGTGAACAGAAATTTGTTCTATGATTGCGGAAAAAAATTCGGGGCTCAAAGGGTTAAAGAAGCATATTTTTCCTTGTATATGCCTACCCCTTAATCCCAGAAATAAGATTAAATCTCTTTTAAATAATGACCATTTCCATCAAAACTAATTAATTTTTTATACAAAATATAAACATCTTTGTTTATGTTCTCCCAGTAAGTGCCATAGGTCGTTTTTATATCCTTCTATGTTGATTTGTATTTCGAAAGAGAAAAACTGACTTAAATAAAAATAATTCAAACTGTATGTAGAAATAATAATAATATATTTTTAAATATATTTATTTTTTAAATCTGGCATTCAAATTTTCTTAGTTGATTTTCAAAAAAAAAAAAAAAAAAAAATATTAAATGAGTATCTTATGTGATTTCGAATATTACGACAATTTTCAAAAATTATTGCCTGTCTATTTTTGCAGTCACCTGTTTTTTTTTGCGTCCGCAAATAATTTTATTCCAAAAGATTCGCTTCAGAATATATTCGATTTTCATATGTATCCACGGTATACATTAAGAAATGTGTACACATTGTACATTTTATAAAATGTCTTATGCATTTTACTCACATTTCTTCTTCTCTCATTTCTGGAATATACTCAAGAACTCCAATAACAAATAATATAAGAATAAAAATAACATTTCACCGAAGAGTTACCATGATTTTGGAGACATCACAAAAACCAGTGATACATGTCATTTTATTTTGACTTTCTTCTCAATTTGTTTGTAATTTTCTTCTGGTCAAACATTTTGCAGGAGCTGGGTTAAAATTCAAATCCTTAAAGGAATCGTGCCAATAAATTTACTTTCAGCTGAATAAATATTATTTGGGATTAAAATAATGTTTTCAATATAAAATATATTTAATAGATCATATTGTAAATAAATAATTTACAAATAGCTTCATACAATCATTTTTAGCACCACACCCCACTGTACATAGCAACAAATACACACTCATTTACCATCAGTATTATTTGTATTAATTATTTTTTTATCATTTATCACTAAAAAAAATATATTAACAATACATGGTAAGTATGGCTTTGCTTCGCTGTAAATATTGCCTTAATGTGTTATTCGAAAATAAACAAAATATTAGTGAATGCAAATATTAAATTAAATTAATGTATATTTTGCCACAAATTGTATAGATGCAAATAGAAGGTCACATCACAACTAGTGTGATATGTTATTATTTTTCATTTTTAATCTATCTTAAAAAAGTTTGTAGTTTTTTTGTTTTTAAAAAAATAAATTTTTTTTAGTTAAAAAATATTTTTTTCAAATTTAAATTTTTAATTTAAAAAAGTTTTAGTTAAATTTTTCTTTTCAAAAAAATATAGTTCTAAATATAGGACAGAAAAAAACTACAAAATAGAAAAAAATATAATCTAATAAAATTATTGTATTACAAAAAAACACAAAAATTATAAAAATTAGAACAACAACAAAAATATGAGAAAAAGAAAAAAATTCATAATACAAAAGCCATCATATGAAAATGAAATTTGTTATGAATTTTTAATGTAGGGGATTTCTCTCTCTATATATCAATGGTTAGTTATCGTATATCATCATCATTAGTTTTATATACATATATAATATTGTTATAAACAAAAAACCAAAACAATACTAAGTAGTATTATTTTCAATGAAATGTTTAAATGTTAATTAAAAATATATATTTTACTCAATATATATATTTTGAAATGTTACATTACCCCCGCCCGCCCGTTTTTCCCTATAATCCTGCATTGTAACTCCAAAATAACCAATCAACCAATCCACATTGATAATAATATTTATAGTTCATAATCCAATCCAATACACCTTTACCAAAACTAAAGTTTATTTGTAATATGTTTCGAATTTGTTTTCATATTGTTATTTATTAAAACAAAAATCCTAAAAAATTATTTTTAAAAATACATTCCTAATATCAATTTTTTATTTTTATTCCCATTAATTAAACTAATATTCTAGATGCTGGAATTAAGGGATGCACCCAGGCATCCATCTCAGGAATCATTAACCGGTGCCGATGCTGGTCATTTACATCCTGGACACGCCTATCAAAATGGTCATCGCCGATCACCTAGTTTAAGGTAACTTTTCCATTTGCCCACTGTAATGTGAAAGGATTTTTTATTTCTGCTTACAGATTTCTAAGATTTTCTTGTTTAATAATCTACGTGCTGCCTTCTTTTTTCTATATCTATACCATGCTCATCAATATCAATAATCATCAAACTATCTCTGGTGGAGAAAAGATCTCAGATAGAATATTGTTCCTACGAATTACTGAATTTTAACTATCAGTTTAAAGGTGGTTTATTTATAAATTTTCTGTTACTATTCAATTGACAATGAAAGGTTGTTTTGAAAACGAGTTTTTAGTATTATTATTTTTTTTTACTTTCTGCATGATTGAATGACCTCAGAAAAAATATTATCCCACAAATGATATTGAACTTTGCGACCTTCGTTGTAAGAATGCACATATAATTGTTGCCCGATTGATTCTAGTATTCACCCTGCTGATTATTACCCTAAATGTGTATGATCGGATATTTGTTTCGCAAGATTATTTCTATATTTCAAACGCATTGATTTTTTTTATTGTGAAATTGAAAACTTCCAAAAAAGAAAACACACACAATCGAATTGTTTGCTGATTCAGAGAGCAGTAACAATTTGGTTCATATGCACATTTGCAATTTGCTATATTGAATAAATATAGAAGTAATCTTTTTATGATGGTTAGGTCTGAAATGAAAAGTCCGAAGGGAAATTTAAAGTACATGTATGTCGCAAACTATGGAGTAAAATATAAGCAGAACCCTTTTTAAAAAAAATGAAAAAAAAAAAATTGTCGAATTTTTCTCGAAGTCAGTGCCCGCTATAGCTCGAAAGCTGCTGTACTGACCATCATATTATATTTTAGGCTTATTATTAATGGAAAAAATAACTTTTTTTTGGTCTTGTTTTGTATGTCACCCTCCCTTTGTCATTGTCCGTGCAGCTAGTCCTCCACTTATCACCAACACACTCCCGAATAATAGTGCTGTACCACGTACTATCCCCATCCACCACATCAGAAGACGTGAGCCCTACATCTCACCTCTAGATCAAGCGGCACGGCGTCAATCTGCATTTGCAGCGCCTCGTCAGTTTCTCCTTCAGCCGATCAAAGTGAGCAAGAAAATTCAACTTATATATACCGTTATTTAGAGATACTTAACAGTACTAGAAGCAGTAAAAAAAACCAGCTCGAATGAAGGGAGAACGACTGTGTGCCAGCATACCTTTCCGTAGCATAAGCGTCCTCTTCTCGGTTGCAACCTTCACTCCAACTCGTTCACTCGAGGTTTACCCCATCTGCATAGCTTGCTCGCCAAGATTTTCCAGTTCAAGCCGAATATTCCCTTCTACCACGATGAGCAAGTCGTCCGCATACGCACAAACCTTGAAGGAGGCTGCTAGCTCCCGTAGCAAAGGATCCATCATCATGAAGTTCCATATACATGAACCACAAATGAAACCCTGTGGACAAACCGAAGCACAGGCTGCCACGACGCAAGCCTTCCCGTCCCGGAAATAACTCGCCTAGAGAGCAATCTCACTACAGCCGATCTCTGACAACTTTGTGAGCAGCTATCCCATACAACGAAGTAAATGCTCTTTTGAATCACAAATATTCCAAGGACATATTTGAAAATTGGACCCGCCTGTTGTTCAAGCACCCATTCCACTTTTCTACGACATTATGGCTAATAAGGGTATATACACCAAATCCGTTTCAGAAAATTTGCAGCCGATTTACAAACGCCCGTCCGTCCGCCGGTTGTCCGTCTGTCTGGCTGGCTGATGCGCACGATAACTATCGATGGAGATAATCGATTTCATCCTAACTATTCATATCTCATTATTTCTTCCAAACTTCGATAATCATCTTCCTCTTGCATTACAAAATGTTCTAGAGAGCATTAAAAAAATTATGAAACCTTTAAAATGACAACAAATCATACAACAAAACGGCGCATATTTGGCCCAAATCGGTCATTCCTAAGCATTTTAAATAGAGTCATATAGTTCATATAAAATAATGGACTTCTTTTTCCCCAACCTAATAAGTTATACAAATATTTAAATGACAACAAAGCTCGCTTTCACACAAAAAAACGGGACATATCTTGTGCGCAATTTGAAAGACCATGTGCCAATGTCATCATCCCCTTGATCTTTCCGTCGAGTTCGTGGCTTTCCCCTTCTGCGAGAACCATTAGTTGGCTCGCGTTTGTATACCTTTTGAGATGGGGCATCCTCATCCATTATCACAACATGACCTACCCAATGTTGTAGTCGCTGCAGCTCGATACGTCTGACTATTTCTGAAAATAGATTGTACAACTAACTCATAGTTCATTCGAAGTCGATATTCACCGTCAACGCAAATTGTCTCATAGGTCCTTCGTATAATTTTTCTCTCAAACACTCCAAGAGCTGTCTCATCTGCTTGCGCAAGTATCCATGCTTCAGATCCATACAACAGCACGGGTAGTATCTGTTGCGTCTTTTAGAGCGTGAGTTTGGTCTAGCGAGAGGTGGCCTTGTTTTGAATTGCTATTCTCCTCCGGATTTCTAAGCTGATTTTATTAGTTTTGTTTATGACGGTACCGAGGTATATAAAACATTTCACTAACTCGAAGCTGTGGTTTTAATGTTCCACATTTGGTCCGAGTCTACTGGACGTCTTGGTCTTCTCGCCATTTACTGTCAGTCCCACTTTGCAAACTCCTTCTCATATCGTTCAAAAGTAGCTGTTGTGTACGACAACTATGTCGATATCGTCGGCGTATGCGATTAACATACGCAATTTAGTGTACAGAGTGCCATTTCTGTTCACATTTTTATCTCGTATGACCTTTTCCAGCAGGATGTTAAACAAGTTACACGACAAACTGTCACCTTGTCTGAGTTCTCGTTCGGTAGTGAAGGGCTCCGAGAGGTCTTTTCCGACTTTAACTGCTGGCAGGATGTTAAACAAGTTCCATCAGGATGTTAAACAAGTTACACGACAAACTGTCACCTTGTCTGAGTTCTCGTTCGGTAGTGAAGGGCTCCGAGAGGTCCTTTCCGACTTTAAGTGCTGGCCTTGTGGCAGTTAAAGTTATCCTGCATAGCCGTATTAATTTTGCAGGAATGCTGAAAGCAGACTGTCGAATGCGGCTTTGTTATTCGTCGACTTAGTTTGTTATGTGTCGATGTATTTTTCGTGGGTATTTTCCAGGATTTGAAACAGTGTGAAAATCTGGTCTATAGTCCATTTGCCAGGTCTAAACTCGCATTGATAGTATCCAATAATATCATTGATCATTGGCTTCCGTCGTTTGCACAGCACGCTGGATAGCATTTAGTATGCAATGGGAAGGAGGCTAATCCTGATATTGTCTAAATACGGAAATAAGTCCACAGAGATTCAAAAGTTGTCACATATTGATGAGACGTCTGCTGATCTCATGATAACTATACCCGATTTTCTGATGAACTGTAGCTATTAAACATCGTTTCATCTCTTAGATTTGGATTTACTATGTGGAAGGATAGGCTCATCTACCCCATACCAATCTCTATTTTATTAAACGCATACCGCACTCCTAATGGAAATACAAGATGTTCATATAGAACTGTTTCCATACAATGGAACTTTCCTGTTTTATGAAATCCCTCCATGAAATTGGACAATTTTAAACATGTTCCTCTAAATTCTACTGCCACACGATTTTCATCAGTTGCAACATATTTTAATGTTGTATAATTTCAAATTTTGGTTTATTTTTCTTTTGAGTTGAAATAAATTATCGGTGTTGGTTAACCGAGTTATTAGTTGATAATTTGTATTTATAACGAAGTTATTGCGAAATTGCGTCTGCGAAGTGAATTCCAACGTATTAAGGTCCGATATTTGTCATAACTTCAAGAACAGTTCTTTTCAAAGTAGGTTTTGAAATTTGAAATTTAATTCTACGTGAAACTACAATTGACAAATTTCTTTTTTCTATACAAAATTAAACTACCCATGCTGAAGATCTTTTCTCTCACAAACAAACTCACCCAATCACAAATCATCGCCATCATTTAAAAACTTTTTCTTCCGCAATATTAATCTTCTATATGTATATAAATGAAGCTATCATCAGCACTGCTTTAAACAAGTTTTTTTCCAACAAGCATCACGCAAATATAGCTAGCTGGTGGTGGTGGTTGATAAACAAAAGATCTTCGATTTCGTAGACCCATACTACTTATTTTTACCTATCGTAAATCGGAGATCTTTTGTTACAACACCACCCTGCAGATCGCTGTTATTCTACTACTACTCCCACTTCTTCTTCTACATCTTCTTATGGATTACTCTGTGATTTTATTGACAAGCAAGCAATCAACCAAAACAAAACAACTCTTCTTCTTTTATAGATCACCAAGTCCTCGACGGCGTGGCCATCCATACACACATCATGATATTGGGTTCTCTGATACTGTATCTAATGTGGTGGAGATGGTCAAGGAAACCCGTCACCCAAGAGGATATGGTCATCATGCGCGTTATCCAAGAGGTATTTATTTTTGTCTTATTTAAAACAAAAACAAAAAATAAATAAATTTACAAAAATACATTTTGAATTTTTGGTGTGTTCTTTTTCGAAACTCTTATACAATATATAAAGTTTATTTTAAAAATATATATTATTTATATAAAATTCTATTCAATTTATGATTTTATTTTTATTATTATCCTATGGCTTTTTATAATTAACAAAAAACGACAACCATACGTACATTGTTTTTTCTCTAAATTTTTATTTTATAATGCATGTTTATTGTAAATTTTATGTTTTATAAATATTTATTTTTTTATTTATTCTATGTAACTTTTTCCCATTTTATCGTATATTGAAATACTGAAAAAAACATTGTGGATTTTTACCAACCACACATTAACACATTTATAAAAAAATTTAAAAAAAAAACAAAACAATTGAATTGAAACAATTGCATGACACCAATTTAATGTTGTCTGTTGTTGTGAACAAAAGCAACAATACCAAAAAACAAAACATACTGAAATCTAATCCCATTTTTAATCAGGGTGCAAAACACTAAGAAAAGAGTATATATTACAGCACAACATTTTACATTTTCCTACATACTTTTACTCTTCAATATTATAAAGAAAAATAATGTTTCATTATTTTTACAAATCATGTCAAATATACAAACATAGTTAAAATTACTATTTACATAGTTCATTTATGATATTATGATAAGAGTAGTTTAATATTGATAATACCACTCCTGAACTTATTACAAGTATGTCCAAAAACAAAAGGTATAGACGAACTTAAACTATTGAAAATATCAATTTATTATAACTTGAGAGCTTCTTTGGCAAATACACACCACACCCCTAAAGTTACAACGATATGGAAATATAAAACGTATGCTGGAACTTCCCTTTATTAGCTTTAGTATTCTCTCCTTTCTTCCACCAAGGAATTCGCAAATATTAAACATATTTCTCTAATTACTCCTGTCTGTCTAAGTTGCGACTTCCTCTAGCCTGTCAATGGCGACAAATATACCCCCCTAGACACATACTGACCTCTATTTATACCCTACACAACTATGTTGTCATGGTATTATAGCTTTGTGTAGCAAACAAAAGAAATAACACGGGCGCAATTAATATTCTGATTAGGGATGGTCCGTATGACGAATTTTTAGGTTTTCGGCTGTCAAAAAGGTGTAAACGTCGAAAACGTCATATACCTGTATAAAATGCAATAAATGTAGAAAACGTCATTTATTCAAATATTATTACCATATACCGTTATTTTCAAAAATACATATTATTTTTACATATTTCTGGGGACTAGAACTAATACAAAATTCTAAACTTTTTGGAGAAAACATTTTTGAAATTTTTTATGGATTTCAGTAAAGCATACGTAATTTCCAAATTCAATAATGGAAATAAGTATTTTGTCAAAAACCTAGTGTTTTGGGTTGGTTTCCGACGTTTCTGACGTATGTAATATACGTCGAAAATGTATGTCATTTACGTCACTGTTTCTGACGGACCATCTCTGATTCTGATTAACGTAATCTCTATTTTATTAAATGCATATCGTACTTCAAAAACAAATACAATATGCCCGTATTTAATTTTTTTAATACGATGGAACTTGGAGAGAAGCAAATCCATTATATTCTTTTTGTCGATTTTTAGCTCCTGGGCGATGTCACGACTGCTAACATGCCAGTCAACTTCGATCATCATTTCTACCGGCCTACCTGTGCGACGACCTTTAACAGCAAAAATTCCTGAACGGAATCTATGAAACCAAAATTGCACATAATTGGCTGTTACAATATCGGAACCATTCACATTCACCATTCACAATTTTAGCCTCTTGGCTTGCATTTGTCAAAGAAAAACCGTTAAATGTACCGAATTTCCTCTTTGTTCACTTTCATTTTTAACACCCTATAACTCACAACTTAATGCACCAAAAAACAGCAGAATATTTTTTTTACTGCGAAATGTCACACTTTCCACGAGGATAAATCTGAAATTATTTGATCGATACTTTACGAGTGATCTATCAATACAGCCATCTGCCGAAAAAATAGATTTCTTCTTCCCAACCTAATATTTGCCTAACATCTTTTAGTACTGTGTTATTTCCCCATACCACACATCTCCTGACCTATCGCATTTCTAATTGCCAATACGAAATAACGATTGTTCTATACGATGCAAATTCCGATCATTATCTAAAAATTGACTCCTTGCATTGCATTGACAAATACATTGAAGCGAAATTCTTTAATAAAGAGCTATTATCTTTGTTTCAATGTAAAAAATCTTCAGTTTGGTTTATAATTTAACCATTTTTCGTTTTATAAACGAGCTTCAATCCTTGAACCAGATTTGAAAGAAATTCCTTTCCTATAGCTCTTAAAAATCACCATTTATATTAGGGCTAGTTCAACACAATCTGTTTTGTGCATAAAATTCTTTTTTCATTTTTCGAACTTCTAACAATAATTCAAACAAATGTGGTATACCAGTCAAAGGCCGCCAAACACTCACAAACCGAGGTACAGGTATGGGTGAGAAACGTAACTCTCTATAAGTCAGGGACCCGGTTGCAGTGTAAATCCAGGCCGAAACATTACTTGATTTGGAAATGAACGACAGCCTAAACGGTGAACTCTAACACCCAACTGGCAGGCTCTTTGCGTTCCTAAAAGCCTTGACAGCATCTGCTATTGAAGATTTTCGGTCAGGTTCATAGTCTTAAACTGCTCCTAGTCAGAGATGGTCTGTCAGAAACAGTGACGTAAATGACATACATGAAAATTACGTATGCTTTACTCAAATCCATATCAAATTTCAAAATTTTATTCTCAAAAAAGTTTGGAATTTTTTATCCGTTCTAAGTAATATTCAGATATGTGCAAAAATGATATATATTATTCTAAAATAACCGTATACGTTTACTACATTTTATACATCTAACAATTTGTCACACGGACATTCTCTGCTCCTAGTAGAACTCCAAACAGGTCGCACAGAATATAGCATCTACCCAACCTTATACCCCAAGCTACTACCTTTTATGTCAAATTAAATTTTCAAGTCATTGTAAACGACGCAACACATGGTCGTACGTCGGACCATTTATGTTACAAAAAATCAAATTATGCAATGGAAACGTTCGATGGATCAAGCCCACACTTAGTGTATCCTTGGCCAGAAATAAGCATACTCGTATGTAGTCTTGTATTTCACACAAGGTAAATGGAGAATCTGATGTGGTATAAACTTTACGTACATTCATATTTGTACTAAACAATGAAGACAGACTATATAGATCCATTTTCTCCAGAACCTTCCCCATAACTGGTTAATATTTTTAGAAACTATTCTAAAATTTGCGAAATGATTTCCAGATCAACAATGTTGTGAAGGTATTATAGCTTTGTGTGATCTCAACAGTTTGTAACTCTGTGATATATTAGTCCTAGACCTTTTAATATACCGATAGTCATATCTCGACTAGCTGAGTCGATCCATACAATTGTGTCCGTCCGTCTGTCCATAATAATTTGTAAATACAATACACAGTTATTTACCAATCGTCACGAAGGAAGATCTAGGGGATGAAATTGTCCATGAACTTGATTTTTGTCAATTTGTCAGGTCATTCTGGAGGCCACAATCATGTTTCGCCTTACCATAGAATAAGCATGACTGCTTTGATGAAGATCGATCAATATTTAGCGAGTCAAATGGCCCAAAATGGCAAAGTTTACTCCTGGACATGGTCCTGAGAAGTTGATATGATATCCAAGAGGATGGGTTAACCTTTAAATTTACATCATTCATGTTGTTTTATGCACTCGGATGTGGGAGTTATACGCAAATATTTGCAGGAGTCTACTTACTGTGATATTATTTAGTATTAAATTTAGTGTGTGGTACTACAGGGAGGAAATGCCGTGCTGATGGCTAGAATCATACTGCTATGCATTTGTTTGGACTGGAAGGGTGTTATTTATTATGATTTGCTTCCATTTGGCCCATTCTGATCTCTACTGTCAACATCTGGACCAGGCCACACGATAATAACATAAAATATGAATGAGATAGCGCCACCTAGACAGAAAATGGCAACACTAATATGTAGCGATACATGGCAGCCGCATCACCTAGGACAGATGCAATAAAACCAACGATAAACGTTTTTTAAAGATTTAGTTATATTTTTATATCAAACATTCTGACAAACTTTTAAAGTCGACACAATATCTATCCGATTGATACGAAATTTAGCACATCGTACTGAAATACGCTGTCAGTTCGATTGGTTCTATTTTATAATTTTCTTTGAAAACATATAAGTAATTTACTATGTTTTGATATTTGACGTGTATTTAATTATACAAACAATGATTTTAACTAGCTAATACCCAATATTTCGTTCACCCAATCTATTTATTTTTTAGTTTGCATTTTTCTTCTCCTCCTACTGCTACTTATATTATATAACATATAATATTCTATATCTTTAAATTCATATTTTAGAATTTGTATTTATTTTAAGTTTTTTTTATTCTATTATATTTTGTTTGCTCAACGAAAATAAAGTTAAGAAGAAAAGACTAATCTAACGACAAATATACGAAACACAAAAATGCTATACTTTTCGTTTGTTCGTTTAACCTAACTTCGTATGTGTATCTATTATTTATTGCCTATTTGTTGTTGTTTTTTTTTTCTTTTTTCGATATTTATATGGTAACGCCAAACCAACAAAAAAATAATAATAATATACAGGTTCATGGTCAGCATCGACAAGTCCGGCCCGTTCGCCTTCACCGTCACGTTATGGTGGCCACACCAGACGCCCTGAACTGCCTTATCCCTCATATGGGACAACAAGTCTATGTCAAAGATCACGATCACCGAGTCCTGCTCGATTGCAGGAGATGCGTGAAAGAGATAGACTTGGCTATGGGATTGATATGGGTACTTTCTCTCTCTTCACACAAACACTCTGTCTCTCACATTCACAAAACAATAAACAAAAATACGCAACAGTCATACATAATACAGCAAATAATCGATTAATTTTACATGCGCATAATTTTCAGAAAAAATACAAAAAACAAAATCGCCTTACACTACTACTACAACAAATTTCTAGACTAACTCTAAAATCTGTGTTACTTCCTCTCTCTCTCTATCTACATTGATCTCTATCTATCTACTATCTTACTGTCTGTCTGTCTTGCCTTTGTCAAAAACATGCATACATATTTACATAATAATATATACTCATATACATAACATATAACATTCAAAAAAATTGTTATACTCGATTTGTCTATTAATCTCGCTCTCGTACTATCTCTCTCTCTCGCTCATTTTCACAGTTACACTGTTCGTTATTGTATTTGTTTTGTCTCAAATACAGTTCATGCATTTAGCTTACAAAGGATATTTCCCATTTCTTTTAATATCCTTCATTCGAATTGAACAACTACAACAACACAAAGAACACTTTATTCAAAATGAAACAGTCAACTCTATTCTACTCCGTTTTATTTTCCTTAGCAAATTACAAAGACACACATTCAAACCTTTCTCTCACACACACACACACAACTAGAGAATGTAGCAAACAGCAGCGCCTCATCATTCAAAACTGACAGTCATACCTCCTATTTTGTTGTCTACGTAGTGCAGTTTAACTATCGAATTGAATTGAATTTTTTTCCTAATAACAACCTTAGTTGAATGTGTCAGCCGCAGAGTCACTTCATTTCAAAATGCATTCCGTAATTTGGCCATCATCCGTCCGTATCGTCCCATAATAATAATAAATACCTATTTTCTGTTACTAAAAATCAAAACATGTCTCCTGTGGACTCAGTCAATCAATCGATCTCATCATCTGAATAACCGAATAAATTTAAAAAAATATACGTTTGCCTAACACTTTTTGAATCCAAGAACCTAGTTTACTACTAACCAAATGTCAAATCAATGTGTTGCGCCGCCTCTCATCACTCTTGTCATTCTCGTACTTGTGTCATGCGTCAGTCAGTCATCATAACCAAACAACTTCCATCCGTATGATTTTTTTTCGTCTTCAGTGGGTTATGCGTTCGTTCTTAAAATCATCTATCAAATCTAGAAGTAATTCTCATTCTCGTTCGATATAATTTTGTGCTGGATATATTGAAGCTGTGTTTTTTATTTTCGTTTTTTACTTTTTTATGCTTAATGTGGTTTTTCATTTTCTTTTTGTGGGTATATTTGTACTTTTTGTGTTGTTCTCACCTTGAAATATATATTTTTTTGTGTTTCACTTGTGTTGTAGAAATTTGTTGTTGTGATATCAATAAAAATAAATATTATTTGTTTTTCTTATAATTTTTCTATTACTAGCTGTAAGCATAATTATCATTAATGGATGAAAATAAAATTAAGTGTTTCAATATTTTATTGTATATAAATTCTCGTAGACCTACGTAAAAAATTACAGGATTATCCACTTCGAGGTTTTATTTTGTTCATGATATACAATTTTTATACTCTTCACCACACTGTGGTGCAGGTCACTTATTTGGCCCAAGGACGAACCCGAACAAAATTTGGCACAGCGTACTGAACTAAGTCCAGTACAGATTCACGTCCGTGAAGTTTTGTTGAAATCGGTTCAGATTTACATATAGCTCCCATATATAGTTTTGTCCGATTTTATTTGAATGGAGCACCATACTGTCAAATTTTGTCCTATTGAGACAAACATTTGCACAGAGTATTGACATATGCCCTGATTGATGTATGCGAAGTTTTGTTGGAATCGATTTCCATTTTATCGGTTTAGATGTATATATAGCTCCCACATATATTTTTGTCCGATTTTATGCAAATGTCCAAATGGAGCCTATGTATGTTCGCTTTACATGAAATACTACGTAGCGTATTAGATTGTAGTCGTTTCAGATTTATATATAGTTTCCATTGTGTTGGATTTAAGTCAAGAAAATTTTTCATTGCGCACTGTGCTGCAGCATACAAATGATTGACATAAAATTGTTCATAAATGTCAGATTGCTATGTGTATGGGTTATTTTAATTTAGTTCAAATACCAACATATGTACTTCAAGCAGTTAATTTCGTCCGATTTCATTTCAATGGTCTTCCCAAGAAGCTATGTGTATTCTATCAAGAGGATATTGTACATATGATTATCTCTTTTATGTACCCAAAGTGAAGAGTATAATATAGTTGTATAGAGTAGTATAATATACTTCCCTTACTGGTTATTATTAAACAGCATCTAAATTACCTCCACGCGAAATGTCACAAGCATTGATTCTTTTGAGGTAATTTGAGACCATTTGTTGACACATGCTGGACGGTATCTCAGCCATAACTTGACGAATGTCGATTCTTAACGACGAGAAATTACGTGATAGGAAATTTTTCTTGCCTATCGCCTTAAGTTGTGTAGCGTAGCCCAAGTCCTATTTTTCAATAGCAGGCAAAAAGTCGGTATCACATGATCATAACCTCCGAGTGAGAAATTTGTTCCATCGTTGAAGAAAATTTTGTTAGAAAAACTGTCGTCTGTTGTTCTATGGCGTATATATTTAGTCTGATGGACATAGACCCGAGAAGTTGATAGTGTAGGCAAGAGGAGTGACTGACCTTTAAATTTGTACCACTTATATCGGTGTATGTCCTCGAATGTAGGAGTTATAATTCAATACTTACAGGGATATTGGATTTTGATTAGTATTAGTATTACCACATTAGATGGCGTAAATTACGCTCTGATGGCTAGGAAATTTTGATTGAGGTTCGGCGACAATTACATGAGGAAGGGAATCTGGCCAACTAATTATAAGGGCTGTTTTGATAATAATCGGCCAATATTCAGCAGGTCAAATCAATAAAGACCTTTCTGTGTAAATTAAAAATTTGCAAGTTATGGCGTAAATGTTCAATCCAGAATTACAAAATTCGGAAAATATGGCAGGGTAAGAAAAAGGAGCTGTTGATGTGACATGAGGCTGCAAATGTGAAATATTGGCCATGCTCAAAATATAAATGCAGTTATGGCGTAAAAGTTCAATCCGGAAATACCAAATTCGGAAATATTGCCCATGTTAAAAATATAGATCCGCAGAATGTTAGAACTCACTGGTTTGTACTATAATTTGAAGTAGATAAATCTCAGTATGATGTTGTTTTTGTTGCGGAATTGTACGAGTCTTACATATCTCTGATCGCAGACATACAGCACTGATTTCTTCCTAGTGGGTATTCATGCATTTGGGATCTTTTGTGTAGTCATTCAGAGCCACAAGTAGTTCTTCGAAGTCTCCAGAGTCTTGTACATCCATATTTTTTTTACCTTGGTCAAGTCAAAGAGCTCCTGCATTGAATAAACTTTTTCTTTAGTCCACAGCGCACGTATGATTCCAGAAGAATTGTTAGTTTTTCCTTAATGGATTGGTACAATATATGCGGGGAATTGAATAGATTACTCCACATAGCTTTAAGTACCATAGCGATCCTTCCTGTCCTTAACTTGTCAGTGGGGATATTTGAAGCGCCAAATACCTTGTATTTTCTGGGGCAAGCTACTCCGTTCAACCCAAAGTATACCCAATGAAAAATACGCACCAATGAAAATAGAAAATTGAATGTAATGGAAAGGAGTAGTTCCCATAACAGAACGCATAATGAGTGGTACTTAGAATGGGCTGATTTATTTTGGCTATAATCAAACCAAATTTGAAAGGAGTAGCTACCATAACAGACCCCAAAGGAGAGTTCTGCACAAATGTATCCGTGTTTATTTGAATGTAAAGGACAAAAATGAGACACCATAATAATTTTAATTAAAAATATGCTGCGCATGTGGTCTTAAGGTTCAAATGAAATATTTTATTTTGACTATAATGTTATAAACTTAAGATTCCTGCATTAAATAATTTCATACAAAATGGTAGTTAATAGTGTGTTTCTAAAAAATGGATAAATTTAATAAGTATTTTAAATAACACTTATCTCATTTTGATAACCAAGAGGTACTCCATTTTCAACACGAAATCTTTGGTAAGAATGTCATTCAAAAACTGAAAAAAATAGAATAAAAATATATTAATTGATATTTAATAATAATAAGACCGAATCGGAAATTTTAGATTTTTCTAGTCAAAAATATTAGATTTCTGAATTTTTGATCAATTTCTCAGATCAGAATAAAATTCTTAGTCCATTTAGGTTCACTTTTTAGGATACCTCAAAAATTTGGGGAATTTGGACCAGTTTTCAATGAAATAGGTAGTATATTTTAATTTCGGATTCTCAGTTTGGAAGTATAATAGGATCTATTATATATTAAATGATATATATTTATATATTATAAAACTAATTTGAAACACAATTTTATTTTCATCCAATTACATACATATAAAATTCTAAAAAGAAATATACAAAAAAAACCCTCATGCATGTTCTCGAAAACCTCATTGTATGTCAAAAAGTACTACTAACGCACTAAATATATTTTTATTTTTCGATGTCTAAAATTATTTAACAAAAAATATCAAACGTATTTCATTTCAAACAGCCTACAAAACATTTGTCAAAACAACTACTACTTACATACAAAAAATCTGTTCAATCATTAAAAAAAAGAAACAAAAACTAATATTATTGTTTATCAGTTCATTATCTAACACATTGACTCAAAACTATAAAACTCCATGTACATATTTTAATAAATAAATTCAATTTATGTTTATGTTTTAATAAATAGGTGGACCCCATGGCCAACATAGTTACCCAAATTTAAACCATCGCCGTGGTGGTGGTAGACGTTTGCCACCCACACCCAGTAAACCATCGACCTTGCAGCTAAAGCCAACAAATATTAATTTTCCAAAATTAAATGCAAGTCCAACACATGTAAGTAAACAAATGTCTGTGTAAAGGAAAAACGTCTTTTTGTTGTGTTTTTGTTTTATATGTTTTTTGTTTATTGTTTATAATTATTGGTTTCGTATGTGAAATAAAACGCTACATACAAAAACATTTCCAATGGAAGTATCGACTTGTCATTCCACACAAAAAAAGTCATTTAAATAAATTTAGGATATGAAGAATCGCATTTCGAAAATATTATCCAGTGCTTGCCAATATAAGGCCGGATAGAACCATTTGCCACATAATCATATGGCTTCGCAATAAAAATATAGTTGCGTAGGAGATAAACATAAATTCGACTTAGAGTAGTGATAATGTTTATTTCGAATCATGTGTGTCATTTTCAAAATATAGGCCTAATGAAAATAATGTCAATTTATGGCTCTGTGCTAGTATTTCGATTTCTGGAAGACATTCTTCACTGGATTAAATTTAATATAATTTGAATCAAGGAAATTTTATGAAGAATACCTCGACGTTAAAACACTGGTTTTGACTTGATGATGCAAAAATAAACATATTGCAAGAAAAGAATTGTTTCATTGGGCTTTATGAATATAACAAGTGAAGTACGGAAGGTATTACGTGATAATCGGAAACCTTGAAATATTAGACGGAGTCCTCAAAAATTTTATAAATTCTTAATTCAAGTTGATTTTTCGCATTTTATGGCTAAAGTTTTTGAAGACCATTTATGTCTTTTGAAGAAAAACTCTTGGCCGATTTATAGGAGAAGCATCAGCGTCGGGAGCGATTTAAAAACCCTAAATATGTTTTTTTTAAATAGGGCTTTTAATAAAACCAGTTCCTTATTTTGGTTCGTCATTCAGGAACTAAAATCACTAAACTTTATTTGTGTCTGAAAAATATGATATTTGTAACGCCGTTGGAGATTAAGGATTCTGAAATTTATCGATCACACCTCTCTACTTGAATTCGAACGGGAGTACTCCTGCGGGTACTATTTTAGTTTTTGTCATACCGTAATCGTAAGTGTGGGAATTTTCACAATCCACAACTGCAAACGAAAAAAAACTCTATTTTCAACATTTTGAGTCCCACTATTATTTATCAAAAAGTTATATCGCTCGGCTGGGAGTCGAACTGACTTCTGACTGACGTCCACTCATTATAAATAAAAAGTCGCGGACAATCAAATTCGCAGGTCTTAAGTCACTTCCTACATAACTGGCCTCTTTAACACTAGGGTGTTTGCCGACCTCGTGTCCATCAGTGTTAAAGGTTGCAGTCGCGGTCCCGATTCTACCCGAACGAAACCCCGTTTATACCTGAGCGCCTCAAAAAGCTTTTTAAAGCTTAGCTGACGAGTCCTTATCATGATAAGAGGCTATGCCATGGCTGACCTCAAGTACTCACTTCAAAAACGTTTATGGTGCCGACCTTTAAGTACCCCACGCCCCTTATTCTTCAAACAATAAACATGTTATTGAAAGTGATTTTTCGACTAATGATGGTGTGGCTTCCTTGGCACCCTCAGTCTCGAAATCCACAAGGTTAGATCCCAATCAACCTCCAAAAAAGGATGACGACCAATGCTAATGTACCGCACCACTCTTCTATTTCATCAAACCAAATCACTCTCCACGCAAGCCTGGAGGGACATACGGACCATCTCCACGACCTTATTGAGGAAACCACTTCTTAACGCCTTAGTCAGAAGAGTATATAGATTCATATCTGGAATGACTTACCCTTGGCAGACGAAGAAGATGTTATGGATACTGTGATTAGCACTAGAGTGATTAACACAATGACAATCCTGATGATTCCTCCAAATCATGGAGAGTCCTCCCCGATGATGAGAAAATATGCAATCCCTGGCGAGGATGAAGATCCCAACTCTATCTCCACGGCGTGCAGTGAAGTCTTAACACTTCTGAGGAAGCTGGTGCTGATAACCCTCCCGTCGAAACGATGGATGTATCATCAGCACAAGAAACTATCAAACGCTTTAATGCCAAGGAGATCTTTGACAATAATATTTACCGGAGAGAAGTTAACTTCTGCAACCGATTTAAGGGAGGGGACGGGCACACTATTACTGACAACGACAGGATGTCAAATTCATTCAGAAGTTCTCTTGCAACTATCCGAATAACATTGCAAGTGACTTCTTAATTGAAAGAAAGTCGACCACAGTAGCCCCTCCAAAGGAGGATAAGACTATACGTAGTCTGATTACAACCAGGAATTTGATGGAAGGGACCTATCCCTCCAAGGGCAATCCGCCTACTGCCTACCTAAATGCAGGGTTTTGAAAATTGATCAGTTGTTGCTAGAGAAACCAAAAGTGGCAAATACTACGCAAGTGCACCCAAAATTGGTAAAGATTTTGTTCCACTTGAGTGCGTTTTTCAACCAAATTCGCAGTAATATGGTATTTTGGATTCGTATTTGTTAACAAATCTCCCTACCAAAAATTATTAATATTCGGTATCTTTTGGGGGAGCCCCATATAACCCCGTTTTTATATTAAAAACGTTAACTCATTTATATCGCATTATCAGGGTTCAACTCGAACTTGTCAGTTTATATCCTGCAAAGTGTGGAATTCTATGACAATTTAGCCATTTCCGTCCGTCTGTACATCTGTTCTTATCATACTACATTCGAAGGATATCAAGATACAAATCTGAAAGGTCTGTTTCGAAAATGAGCTATATATTTAGGTAAAGCCCTCATATAATGATTAATCTCACTTTTCGGTATTTTAATTGTTAAGTGCCAGGATGGTATCGAGATACAAAACTAAAGGGTTCGGTTCGAAAATGAGTTATATGGGTTCACATTTAGGCATCATACCCATATATTGATATCTCCCGATTTTCGATATTTCCTAACAGAGGTATTCAATATTTGTCCCCTTTGTTGGTATGGCCAAATAAATAGAAGTATTTTGAGGATTTTAGGCGCATGTTGCACCTTACCATACATTATCAATTTCGGTCCACAGTTTGGAGTTTTAGAAAAAATCCCCATTAAAAGTTGCTGGAATTTATATTTCATGTGCATAGTGATTTACATAATATTATAATCCCACCCGTTAACCATTACAGTTAACCCGTTAACCATAACAGTATAAGACGCGACAGTATAATACCTCCCTCATCATCAAAATTGCTGCAATTTAGCATTTCTGGTCTCCAATAGAGTCTATGATATCACTGGAAAACATTGTTTAAATTTTTTTTATGTGTCCTATCAAACGATCCCACCCATTTTTGGATTACATCGGAGTTTTTAGCCACATGGGGTTGGAACTCTCATGTCAAGTAACTCTCTATGTACCTATGGTGGTATCCAAAGTTTGTCCTGTGCGCTCGTTTTACATTGGATGAGTAACAGAACTCCCAGAAAATGTCCCTAAAATAATGGTCGTATTAGGTATTTTTAAGGATGTAACTGCCTTTTCCAATCGATGTGGCTATAGTTTTGCATTTCGGATTATCAGAAGAAAAAATGCCATGCATCCTTGCCTTATTAACATAACTTCAGTCAAATGATATCACCTATACCTTTTTGAATACTTTAAGCAAACTATAAGCAATTTGACATAGAGATAATCCCTATTGCTATGCTACTAGAATTATTACATAATGATCCAAGATATAATTCCGATTTCTTGGCAAGAAAATATTTTACTGAAACAGAGGTTATCAGCGATACGACCAGTATTGCGATTGGAGTTCCCCCACATTTTTTTTTTTTTTTTTTTTTTTTTTTTTTTTTTGTATTTAATGATGTTGTTACAGAATGTGACATCTATCCTTTACAGTCTGTATTTTCCTTCCTAAAATTAAATATAACATCCGTGAACTTCTACTATATCTTATACGTACACATAAATTAAACATGAACCGACTCCACTTAGAAGGTTTGGAATCTTTTCTATATTTTGCTTGTTTAAGGGATTTTTAAACTAGGAGCTCTTATATTGTATCTGGTGTTGAATTGTCTATCATGATTTTTGAAATACGATAATTCAAAGCTTCTAGTCAGAATGTCTACCAATTACAATTATGAACTTCTATTCTAAGAGCTTCTAATTCGCTGTTCTTCATACTGTTCTAAAAATCTCAGGTAACACCAGACTTTAGATGTGAGTAAGCAAAAGTTTTAAGATCTACAATTCATCTAAATTTATACTTTAAATCAATTGGGGTGTGTGAAGCACATTGGCCTAAATGGACTGATTCGAATTTCGTATACAAAAATATAATTAATTTTCTGTGATTAGATCTTCCCATAGGAAACATACTTTTCACATCACTTCTCACAAAAAATCTATGACAATTTTTGGAAGTTATATAGAATAGCCGCAAAATACCTTAATCACTGTTATGTCAGCTTGAACTTAGTATTGTATTAACTTCCAAAATCAACAGCAAATTCTGCCTGCAAATAGAAACTACATTCATACATACATTAATAATTACTGTACAAGAAAATCAAACAGATTGTCGATTATTCATTTGTCAGTCAGTCAATAGTTTAGAGATAATTCACATATTTTTTTCTAAATGTTTCATAAATTCAAACTAACCGAACCGAACAGAGTGCTCGTCGAGTGCATGCCCAACTCGAGGTTATATTATTAAAATTGTGAAAACAAATGAAAATCAAACTTTAAACTTAATGTGAATGAATGCATTTTTGTTTTTGTGTAACTACAAAAATCACTCAAAGCCTAGATGTTATACGAAAACTTTTAATTTTTAGTAGTGATGAAAACCAATTGCTACGCAACTTCAGTTTGTAAGGCAAAACAAAATCCGATTAGACACAAACAGAGAAAGTGAGAAAAAAATCAGGCAGGCAGGCCGAGAAGTTCTGGAGGTACAACCGATCATTGACTTCGTTCGAACTTCAGTAACAAACAAAAAATAACAGGCTTCATACTACAAATCCAAAAAATATCCCGAAAAACGAATGCGGGGGACAACGTGTCTTCACAACATTCCCACCTACCAATTGTTCTTCTTCTACTTCTGCTACTACTACTACTTCTTTCGATTCCAACCAAGTTCGTCAAGTTTGCTTATGCATGATTTGCAACCCAGCTACAGATGTTTATTAATTGGCGTTCCCCAATTCTGTTTTCTGTTGCAGACACATCACTCAACACCTCATAGTGTTCACTCGTTGGTAAACCACCGCGATCTAATACCGGACCCTAGAGAGTTGTATTATAGCAGTAGAGAACGTGAACGGGATCGCGCTCGTTACAGGGACCGCTTACGTGACTACGATCCACGATATGAATATCGGGATCGAGAACGTGAGCTATACGAACGAGAACGAGAGTTGGAGTATGAAAGAGAAAGGTAAGTCGGGAGAGATTTCCCATTTCAGATTTCAATATTTAAATATTTTTGTTTTGTTTATTGAAATTTAGACTGGAATACATACCACCCTTGTCGTTTGAACAAGCGGTTGCTATGGGCCGAACGGGGAGAGTGTTACCCTCGCCGGTAATGAATGGCTATAAGCCAAAGGGTAGCCACCATGCACGCCACTCCGATTCCGACGAAGAGGACTGGTGCTAGCAAAGGCTTTGATTGCGATCGCGTGATCGAAGGGAACAGATCTGGGTATAGCATCAGGCCATATTGCAAACCGCACTGTCCGCACCAGATTTAGATCATAATTTTGATACAATACCAATGCAACATTTTCTTCACCCACAGCACCACCATCACTACCGCCGCCACCACCACCAACAACTACAACGACCAGCCATTACCGCCGCCATGTCATATAACGATCTCTATAGTTTGCAAACACCACTCGATGAAAACCAAAGACTTATGATGCCGCCATCACGACCGCCACCACCACAGCCACCAACATCGCCGACAACACCCACGTCACCCCAACAATCACTGCTAGAGTCGGAGGAACGCAAACGCTACGAACAGCGTCTGCGCAACCTAACATCGTTGGCATTCCTGAGGCACACCTATGCCTCAGATGTGGATGACGCTGATGCAGCGTTGGAGCGCATCATAGCAGAGACAACGTTTATGCAACCAAATATAGCAACAACAAAAGTTTATTCAGATCATGAGATAAATTATATCACAACTAGAAATTCAGATGCAGCAACAACAGCCACCAACAATAATACCAACAACAGCAACAAAAATCATTTAAACAAGACCAATAACAGCAACAACAACAAAAACGACACTACTACACTACCAACAACACATGTCGGCAGCACTGCCGTTGTAATGACACCGCCGTCGGATATAACCGCAACGGATGCGGAAATATTTATGGAGCCAATACGAGAGTCAAGCATAAGGGCCAGTACTTCAGGCAACACTGCTGCAACATCACAACAACAGCAACAAGAACAACATCTTTATCACACTTTATAAGGAAAACAAAAGGAAAAAACCAACAAACCAGCAACAACAACAAAACAACAACATCTCGAAAACCATCCATCATCAAATTCATCATCGATCGTTCTAAACCAAACCAAAGACTTTTTTAAAAATTACAAAAAAAATATTAAAAATAACGGAAGTAAAAAAACAACAACATTATTAACTCAAAATAAATCGAACCACAAGAAGAACAAAAGGAAAACATAAATAAAAATCTATAAATTTTTTATAACTGCAAAAACAAATAAAAAACCAAGAAAAAAAAATTAAATATACCTGCATTTGCCAGCCAGCAGCCGCAGCAGCTAACCGAATACCGAAAATCACTAACCTTAGCTTCATTTTAGTTTAAAAAAATAATGTATTTATAAATTTTTAATAATTTTTTTGTGAAATAATTAAAATTAAAAAATTAATGGAAAAGAAAAAAATGAAATACCACACACACACGTTTGTAAAAGCTTTAAATTAATTTAAGTACCTTAAGCGACATACTAACTACTCTTGATACCAAAAACAAAAGAAAAAACCGCAAAACAAACCGAAACCAAAACTTAATACCAAAATACAAAAATATTAAATCCAGTCAAAAAGAAGGTCAGCAGGAATTTATTTTTTTGTTTTGTTAGATTTTCATGGAAAATCCGTTTCTTTGTTACCAAAAAATATACATAGGAGATTTAAAAAAAAGCATATTTTAAAACGCATCTATTAAAATTATTTTACATACATACTTACATATACATATATAAGCCAATTTGTTACGTTTTATACTTGTTTTCATTGTTTTAGCCAAATTTTTTATCCTGTCTCTTAATTGCAAATCACTACAACAACAAAACTACTACGCATAGCTTTTATTTACCAAATTAGGCATTTAGGGGTTAATGAGGGTCATGTTTTTTAGCTTTTCTTCTCTAGGGCCAAATTTGTTTGCTTGCGAAAACTACTATATCTAATGGATCTCGCTGAAAATGTTGTTAAACCAATTGTTTTTAAATTTTTTATTAAAAAAAGAAGTAAAAAGAAGTATACATTTTACATAAAATATATTAATCAAAAAAAGTAGCTATAAATTTTAATAGTATGGTGTAAAAAAATTAAATAAGAAGTGGAGAGGAGAATCTGACAAATTTTAAAATCTAAATTTTTTGAAAGAGATTTTTTTGAAAATATTCGATAGGTTAATTTCTATCTACAATAGAGAAAGACTAGGTTGGCATCTTTAGTTTTAAACAACTATTAATATATGAAATCGAAAACAGGCGTTACCACTTAATAATTTTTTTGAAACAAGTCAAACTCAATCCTTTAAATTTCTTAATAATATAAAACACGGACCTAAATCATTTTCAAAATAAACGACTCAATTTCAAACGAAGTTTTCTATTATGTCCGGCATATAATGAAATCACATATTATTGAAGCATCTGGATGAACTAGGAACAGAGTATCTAACCAAAGTCCTCAAATCGGAGTTATCTATCCTAAAAGTTCTCGATATCTTGAAAATAGGTAGAATTATCCCGCTAGGCAAGGATGTCAACAAAGAATAATCATACAGACCGATTTCATTTTTGTCGCCCACCCAAACATTCAAGATTACTATCCAATTTGCCGAATATTAATACGGATTCCGGAAGCAGCACAGAAGGACAACCGATCTGTACAATATTTCCGTGTAACGTTGTATCATGGACTATATTAATCGTACGTATATAATTCAGAATAAAGAAGTCAAAACCCCGTATAGTGCAACATTTCTCCGGGACTGTTTAATCTTGATCTTTTTGGTATTCTACGTCCATCATCTGCCATAGGTTGAATATTTGTCTGGTAGAAATATTCCATACGAGGAATATGAAAATATCCGCTACGAAGTTAATGACCTCACTGTTAACCACATAAACACCGGAGATTCGACTACCTTACCAGGTCGATATGCCCATAATTCCGACCACTTATTAATTTGAGAGGTCACATTCGAAGCGATACTGGACCATATGAAAACCCAACACAATTACCACTGCAGTAGTTCTGTAAGGTACCTATATACCAAGCCCGGACAATATTTTTCGCGATTTTCACTCTCTTGGCCGACTGGAGGTCAACAACTCACCTTCCTTACCCTGAACATTTAAATCACAAGATTAAAATGTTCTTATTTTACACACAAATTTCTTGGCTCATTTGACCGATCATTAAATTCTCAATAGCAGATAGCAGATTCCCTTCCTCGTGTAAAATATGTGATTTCGGCTTATAATTAGTCCTCTACACTGACTAAAAAACATGTCAACAATATATTCTTCGGTCCATAGGGGATGACCCTATATATCATATGATCACTACCTTGACCCCAAATGGAACTTCACAGTGGAAGCTCTCTAGTGTGCTAATGTGTTACTCAATAAATATTTATGTGTAACTCCCACATTCGGGTAGATACATCACTATCATGTCTACGTCATTCAGTGTTAGTTACCACATGAAGGACATACGCCATTAATACAAATGTTGCCAGCTAGGTATGTCAGGAAGGATCATCATGATCTATAGAGGTCTAGAGGTACAAAAGAGAGCATATAGGGTTAGCCAACAATACATACATATGTAAATTACAATGATGGTTTTGTGCACACTGATAGAATCATTGAGAGAATAATTTTCGATGTCGAGAATAATGTCGAGTGCGAACACATAATTTGGATTGTATTTATACTCTATCAAAGTGACCATGGTTGCCTTTTTGGTGAAAATTGATCTATATCAAGAGATTTAGTAAACAGAATTGAATTCAATTCACAATGATTCAGTTGAGGATGCAATATAGACTTAGAACACCCACCACTGATAGCAGAAGCTTCCAAAACAAGCCAGAGGGTTTTTTTAATAGCTGAGATTAGGGAGGTGTGCTGGGGCCGAATTGATGACATGGTCCACATGACATAGTATAGCTCTTCAATTGCAACTAACCCCTTGTAAGGCCAATAATATTTAACCCTAACAACCAGATACGTTCGTACCTTTTTTAATTAAAAATGCTGTAAAATTTGCAGTAATGGAGATATTTGGATCAAATTATGAGGAATCATTCTCGAGGTGTTTCTACTCATAATGGATGAAAAAATTAAAAAATATATATATATTATTTACATGGATCTAAATTAGTGGTTCCCCAATCTGCCTTCTACGAGCCGCCATGATGGTCCCTTGTTATCTAGAGCTATAAAAATGTCCAGAGATGTTGGGGAATACCTAAACTAGATCCCTATAAAAATAAGGTTTTTCATCAATTATGAAAAAACCTTAACACATTTAGAAACTTTAACGAAATAACTATATCTGATGTATATAGATTATCAATTAACCTGGATTTTAATATATATACCCTTAATGTATAAATAATTTTGAGTTCCTACATCTAGCTCAGAGTCGTATAAACATATTTCTAAATGAATGAATCCTAAGTCTAGAAACCTTTTCAAAGATCTGTGTATATCTATATCGGAAATGCAAAAGAAGAATATCATCGAACAATCGGAAACTCTTTCCAACATAAGAAGAATATCGAAGTTTCTAAGCCAAGGGATATCTGAAGTGTGTGGAAAAAGTAAAAATCCTTGACGGAATTCTAACCACCAGTATAAACACATTTTTGTCAACTACAAAATGTTCTTGTTTTGATAATTATGGGGATCCCATCTTTGCAAAAAAAAATCGACCTCGGAAATAAGACAAGGTTTCAAATTCAATATTTGCATTCGGTTCAGCAGACAGTGGTGGCAGCATTTCAAATAACTGATTATTGTGAAAGAATAAGTTATTTTAGTCTTTAAGCTAAGATGCTATAAAACGTTTATATAACTTACAGAATTTTGTTATAGGATAATTTTTGAAACAGTTTAGTAAACATTTTCCTTCTGGTTATGGTTGTAATGGCTATAGTATTGTGTAGTTGAAGAATTTTTATTAAGGAAAAGTTTAATATTTCGGAAATTTAAATTTATTTAAAAAATCAGAGAACCACCTTTGAAGGCAATATAAAAATATATTGCGTTTCATTATAAAAAAAATTAAATAATTTATTAACACACTAAAAATAAAAACTCATTATGTTATATACCTCTTTTCAATTAAAATAATAGTTATCAATTTATAATCTCTCACCTCTCCACTTCTTATTCGCCACACCGCCATAGAACAGGGTTTGTAGGGTTTTTTTTAAAATGTGCCTAATTTGGTAAATTAGTTCTCTATTCCTCTTATTACAAAGTTTTTAATTAATTAAAAAATAAATAAAATTGTTGAAAGAAAAAAGAAAGCATAACATTAGTTAGAAGAAATTTACATTTTAGCCAAAGGAAAAAACACACTCACAAGCCA